AGATTTTCACATGCATGCAAGTTTTGAGTTTATTTTCTAAGAATTCACACATACAAGTGTGCATATTTGCTAAGAATTGAGAGCTCACCATGATTTCATACTTAAACATCTCATTTGTCCATGTTTTGGAAGTTTGAATTTCATAATCATTTCATGCATGAGTTTTGAAGTTTAGTTTTGAAGAATTAGCATACTTTTGGGCTTTGATTTTGCGAAATGACCTTCAATTCATGATGTTCTACAAGTTTCTAAATGTTTTCTGAAGTTTTGGTCCAAAAGAATGAGTTTTAGTACACATGCAAGTGTACATATTTGCTATGAATTGAGAGCTCACCACGATTTCATACTTAAACATCTCATTTGTCCATGTTTTGGAAGTTTAGATTTCATGATCATTTCATGCATGTGTTTTAAAGTTTGGTTTTCAAGAATTGGTATGCTTTTAGGCTTTGATTTTGCAAATGACCTTCAATTCATGATGTTCTACAAGTTTCTAAATGTTTTCTCAAGTTTTGGTCTAAAAGAATGAGTTTTGGTGCATTGAAATTGAGTTTTAAGCTTTAAATGCAAATCTGAAAATTCTAGAATTCTGTCTCACTGCTCGAGCGTACTTTGCGAGCTCTCAGTACTTTTGTAGAATTTGATGGTTGGCTCGAGCAACCAAAAGACCACTCAAATGACCACTCTTTATTTTTAGTCTTGGCCCGAGCAACTGAGAAGTTCGCTCGAGTCTAAAATGCGAGCTCTCAAAAGTTTTGCAGACTAAGGGGTCCACTCGAGCGAACTGTCCTGTTTTCTGAAATTATTTCAAGTGTTTCAAAGTGCATAATTGTATCCTCATTGCATCCTAAGCATTCTTAAGCCATGATTAAGCTATAATAATGAGGATAAGAATTAGAAACACACCTAAAAACGAAACATGATAAATCAAGTGTATTCAGAGTGTGTGTTTCAATATGTACAAGCTAGGGGTGAATAATGGATATTCTGATCCGCCCAAACCGATCTGATCCGCCGCATTTTGGACAGAATGTGTGATGATGAATGGATAGTTGTGGATTAATTTTTTCCAATCCGCCTAGTTTTGAATGGATGGCGGATTTGAGGTTATTTTGATCGCAACTGAACCGCCAAACTATGAGCACCCCTAATAATTTGTAAGACTTGGTATTTTCAATTTGTTTAAATATTCTATTTGTGTTTTGAATTGAAAAAGAATTTAGATATTCTGTTGTGTTTTCAATTTATTTTCAATTTGAAAATCCTTTTATCAAATAGCAAGGGTTGATATTTGGTATTTTTGTGTGGAAAATTTAAGGCTTAGTTTTTTCATTTAAAAAAAAAATCAAATTAAATAGTTTTTGAATAAAAAAAAGTAATGAAATAATTTTGACAATGCATGGTTTTCTTATATGTATTTATTATTAGTATTTGACAATTTACTTGATAATCTTTTGGTTATGTTGAGTTGGATTGTTATTCCAAAAAAAAATGTTGACAAATTATTGTATTATGTTCAAAATTTGTGAAAGTTTAAACTGCCAAACTGATTCGCATCCCTTCACTAATTTGCCAATCCGCTCAATCTGCATCCTTCAATTCGACGGATGGATGCGGATTGATTTTTTTCAATTCGCCCATCTGGCAGACAGATAGCGGATTAGAGGTTTTCTGGCCGCAACCGAATCGCGAACACCCCTAGTACAAACAATGTGATAAGAAAGAATAAGAAGCTAATGTAAGGGAAGCTAAGCCATAATGGCCATATGAATGTGGAATGATAAGACATGTTTTGTGCTATGTATGTTTGTGATTGTAGGTCAAGACTCGAAGATTGATCAACCGTTTCTAGAAGTCCACTGTAAGTAACGTTATTGTAAAGATATGTTCATATAAATTATGTTTGAAATGTTATACGATAAGTTACGATTTCTGAAATGTTATTTTGTTAAAGTAAACGAATGTCCTATGTTTGAATCTACTATGGCATCCAAAGATAGTCCCAAGTCATGAGGGACAACATGTCAATGCGGATCCATGACATATATGTGATTACGAGATCTCACTAGCCACTTGACAAAGTGGTGTTATGTTTGATAATCAGTGTCTGGGACCAATTACTCTAGTCGGAAGACGATATGTTATGCTCTGTTAGATATACCATTATTGTGTTTAGATATGAGATTGATTATGTTATGATCTGTTTTATGATTATGAAACGTTCGTAATTCATCCACCAACCTCCTTACCTTAATGTTATTCATTAGGTTTTAGCTCACTGTGTGTATATATGTATAGGTGGGCGACATGAAGGACAAGCCTAGAAGAACTCCTTTAGTCGAGCCATCATCTGAAGCCTTTTAAGTTTTTGGTGCCTCCGAGTGGAGGCTAAGTTTAGGTGGCCTTTGACGAGTTTTATGTTCTTGATGTAGGAGCTTTGATGATATGTATATTTGTATATGAAAATTTTTGTTTATCTGTAATAGTGCAAAGTCCCTTTTGTTTTATTTGTATATGTATGGATGACGTAAGAATGATGTGATAATATATGCATATAAAGTTTAAATTTCTGTCTCATATAAGTCTGCACAGCTCATTGGACGATTATATTTCTATATTTACTTCCGCTTGCCTCTTATTTTGCTAATCTGTCTCAAAGGCCTTTAGTATTTTTAGGATTACTGGCTGGTTACAACGCTAAACTTATAGGGGCGGGTTTGGCTTGTGATAGATGATCTAGATTGGGCCAACTCACCCACTTAACAATGGACAGATCAAATTACTTCAATAACAATAAATAAATAAAAAAATCAAAATTTCCCCAAAACAGAGTCCTTTTCTCTACTTAGAAACTCAAACTCCATGAAGAAAGAGGGAAATAACAGAGAAAAGGAAGACGACAACCACCGCTACGTACACCAACGGAGGCGGAAGTGGAGGTAGATGCGGCCATTCCCAAATCCTTGAGACCGAGAAGGATTTCCATGGAAGCAATAAGAAATTTCACATGGAAGCATTTTTAATAGGTGAGATCCATTTGTATTCACCAGACTTGAAGAAAACCAGATATTCTATCTTGCTCATTTTTCGTACTCCAGCATACCAGTGGAAAGTTTTTAGAACAAGTAAAGATCAATCTTTTTTCTCCACGCTGTTAACTTATATCTTCTAAAATGATATAAACTGTTACAATTTTGACTCACATGGTTGAGAAGAGTGATGGTGTTTATGCAAAACTAGGCAAAAATTCATTCACTGGGCGTCTACCTAGTCAACCGACACGCGCTCTGCAACTGAGGAGGCATTTTGCCAATTCTCGTTTTGGCTCTCCACAGGTAGCCAGCGTCCATTGCTAGGCAAAACACTCTTCCCGCCATTGTGTTGGCCTCCGTCGCTGCTTGTTCCATCTCTGTTCCAGCCCATTGATGATCCCAGGTATGGCTCTCTTTCTCTTTCTCTTTTCTCTACTTCCCTGTTCTTCCCCATCATCTATCTGCAAAGGAATAAATGATTTAGGGCAATCCATTTGCAAAAATTGGGTTTGTGTACTGAAATTGTTCATTGGGAAATTGATGATAGCCACTGGGTATAAACCGTTGATGATTTATTTGAAGTGATCAGATCTAAGGGCGTATCATTGTCAAAAGTTTCAATTTTTGTTTGTTGGTCTGCATTTTCATGCTATTTCTTTATATTTAAAGCTGCATTCGATACTTTTTTTGGGGTAAAAAATTGGGTTTTGGGTTTTATATTCAGTGTTTATGCAATGTGCCTGGTAGATTGAGTGATTCACTTTTATATTTTGTTGTATTTGCTTTTATAGATTGCTTGATGATAGGTTTTTCAATATGTAGAGGGGTTTCTCCAATGTCCTCTACATGTTCAATAAATTGCCTCAAAGAATTGACCCCACAATTCCAGCCAAGAATCTATACATGTTTTATATTATGTGTTATTGATTGTTACTAATTGCAGCCAAGAATTGATTGTTACTGATGTGTAGAGGGTTACTGATTGTTTTATATTATATTACCCCACAATTCCAACCAAGAATTGCCTCAAAGAATTGTCCTCTACATGCTTTATATTATGTGTTAACTGATTGCTCTGCTAATTAATTAGTCTATTTTGTAAGTGTTTGAGAAATGTATATGAAAGTTGTTTTATTAGTTAAGTCTTGAGCACTGAGACTTGGCTTTGCACTAAACAATTATGAATCATGCGATTCTAAGCAACTGATGCTCTAATTTTTTTGTTATAACTGATGCTCTAATTATTAATGCTACACAAGAATTGTCACATATTGTTTTCAAGGTAGGCTATAGATACTTAAAGAAAATTAATTTCTAATCATAAATATGTTTATATATCAGTATAGATGCAAATACATTGGTGTGCTTTATAGGATAGCATGTTTGAAGAAATTATTGTTTGTCTATGTTTTATAATTTTTATATCTATATTCTAAAAAATACAGTAAGCAACTGATGCTCTAATTTTTTTTGCTATAACTGATGCTCTAATTATTAATGCTACACAAGAATTGTCACATATTGTTTTCAAGGTAGGCTATAGATACTTAAAGAAAATTAATTTCTAACCATAAATATGTTTATATATCAGTATAGATGCAAATACATTGGTGTGCTTTATAGGATAGCATGTTTGAAGAAATTATTGTTTGTCTATGTTTTATAATTTTTATATCTATATTCTAAAAAATACAGTAAATTACTTTCAAAGATGTCCAATTATGTCCAATTATAAATTACTTTGTTCGGTTTGTATCATGCTTTGTCCATTAATGTCCAATTATGTCCAATTTTAAATTACTTTCAAAGATGTTCAATTATGTCCATTATGAATCAGATTTGTTCCAATTTTAAATTACTTTGTTCCAATTATGTCCACCATTCCCTAATTCATTATTTTTGGAATTAGGCCATGAATTGATACTTTTTTTTTTCCCTTTTTGTGTGGTATGAACAATTGTGCTTTAGATGGAATATCAAGAAAATGCGTATTTTAGCAACCTAATGAACAAGTTTGACGTTGACCATGATTTTACCACTGAATCTCCTCAACAAGAGAGTCAATCTTTATCATTCTCTCCTGAAATTATTAGTCAAACTACAAAGATATCACAACGCAAAGGGAATTTCACCGAAGAGGAAGACATGATGCTCATATCTTCATGGCTTAATATTAGCTTAGATCCAATTAGAGGAAATGAGCAAAAGTCAAAGGCATATTGGTTAAGAGTGTGAGAGAACTACAACAAGTACAAAACCTTCGATTCTGAAAGAACTCAAACTTCTCTAATGAATCGGCGGTCGACGATTCAACTTGCCACAAATAAATTTTGTGGATGTTTTGCTCAAGTTGAACGGTTGAATTGAAGTGGTTCGACTGAAAAAGACAAGGTATGACTACAATTTAATTTTGTACCTATAATGAATATATATTATTCATTGCGTGATAGTGATTATTCTTTAATCTATTTTTCAGATTCAGGATGCGAAAAAATTGTACAAAGACTTGTATCACTTGAACTTTCCCTTTGAGCATTGTTGGAATGAACTGAGATCCCAACCAAAATGGATGGAAGATACAACAACAAAGAAGCAAAAAAGCACAAAAAATGCATCTCCGGCAACGTCTACCCCTTGTACACCATATTCAGTAAACTTAGAGAACAATGATAACTATGATGTTGTGGAAAGACCAATAGGAAAGAAGGCCGCAAAGAAAAACAAAGCTAAAGATCTTGGAAATAATGTTACAGAGTCGCCTTTTGTGAAGCTCTTAGAAGAGATAAAAGTAAAGAATGACATAACAAATGAGAAGAAAATAAAGATATTTGAGAAATCTTATCCTCAAGAGGAACGAATGATTGAAAATGAGGAAATGAGAGAGGAATGGAGGCTTGCATTGGACGAAAGGAGAGAGGAAGAGAGAATCATGTCAATGGATACAAGTATTATGCCTCCATTGCAAGCACAATATATTCGCCAACGTCAGATGCAAATCCTTGAAAAAAGGAATTAATTGTTTTTATTTAGCTTTGAAGCTATGTTTTTATTTAATTTAAGTTTGACTGGATTTTATTTTGGGTTTGCTGGCACATTTGTTTTTGATCTTCAGAATTTTAGTGCTTTGACTTGGATTTAGAGTTGGGTTTGTTTCAAATTTTACTGGTTGAAATCTGAAATGGAGACAGACTTGTTGGGTTTGAAATCTTGTTGGATTTTAGTGCTTTGACTTGGATTTAGTGCTATTTACATTTAGTGCTATTTATATTTTTGCTATTTATATTTTGGATGTCCATTCAAGTCCTGGATTTCAAAATTAATGAGAGATGTAAAGAAAGATTAAGAATTCTCCATATTCTCCATATTAGGGATTTATTGATAGAAAAATTTATTCTAAGTATCACTAAAGATCATAGATTAAAAACAAATCACTAGTGATATATTATTGAAGCACATAAAGTAGTACAAATATTTTTGAAACACACTCACTAAGGCATATAAGCTAGTACATAAATCAATAAGAAGTCTCCATGTAGTGTCCACAAGTGTTCGACCAAGTCCTGTTTGAGTTTGGAGTGAGTTCCTCTATCTCTGATGCGATGATGATTTTGAATGAATTCAAAAAGTTCTGGTGTACGCTCATGAGACATTGGTGGAAGACTTTCACTAATTATATCATAATTAAAGTCTAATCCATTGGCATCCCTCTCATCTTCAACAATCATGTTATGCATTATTATGCATGCCATCATAATATCTTCCATTATTTCCGTTTTCCAAAAACGTGCAGGTCCTCGCACAATCGCGAAACGTGCTTGGAGCACACCAAATGCTCACTCAACATCCTTCCTTGCCGATTCTTGAGCTTTTGCAAAATACATTTGCTTATTCCCTTGTGGAGATGAGATTGTTTTGACAAATGTTGCCCATTGCAGATATATACCATCGGCACGATAGTATCCCATTGTATAATCATTTCCATTGATTGAGTAATTGACTGGAGGAGCACGACCTTGAGTAAGGAGTGAAAATACAGAAAAACGATCTAATACATTGATGTCGTTATGAGATCCGGGCATCCCAAAAAAGGCATGTCATATCCATAAATCTTGAGAAGCCACAGCCTCTAAAATAATAGTTGGTTCATGGATGTGACTAGAATACATACCATTCCGTGTAGTAGGACAATTTTTTCACTTCTAATGCATACAATCAATGCTCCCTAACATACCAGGAAACTCGCGATTGCTTCCCATCGCTAATAATCTTGAAATATCATCGTTGTTAGGGCTCCTCAAGTACGTCTCAGAAAACATTGCAACCACCGCCTTAACAAAGTGTTTTAGATTCTCTATGGCGGTGCTTTCACCAATTCTCACATAATCATCCACCGAATCTGCTGCTACTCCATAAGCGAGCATTCTCATAGCAGCTGTCATTTTTTGAAGGGAAGACAAACTAGAGGTGCAACTCGGGCGGGTTCGGTCGGGTTGGGGGTCTGTCCAAGCCCGACCCGAATTTGTATTTGGCAGTGCCCAAGCCCGCCCAAGCCCGACCATGAACTCGAGCATTGCTGCCCAAGCCCGGCCCAAGCTTTGTATTTTGAACTCGGGTTAGCCTGAATTGCCCAAATTGCCCGAGTCCAGAAACCTGTAGGTAGATCTAAGGGTAGACATAAAAGATGCTAATCTAATGGTAGAAGACTAACCAAAAAAAAAAAATAAAAAAATAAAAATTAAGACTAACACTTTTACTTAATAGAAGACTAACCAAAAAAAAATAAAAAATAAAAATAAAGACTAACTCTTTTACTTAATTTATATATATTATATAATTTATTAAATTATATATATTATATATTATATATTATATAATTTATATAATATATTAAATTCAATTCGGGTTGCTCGGGTTGGCCATTGGTTCTGCCCAAGCCCGGCCCGAATTGCAATTCGGGCATCAAAAATCTGCCCAAGCCCGTCAAGATTACAAGATATAGTTGCCCAAGCCCTAAAAAAACTCGGGCTGGGCTCAGGTTGCTCGGGTTGAGCCCGCCCGAGTTGCACTCCTAAGACAAACCAATGATTCCAACAGCATCTGTTTTCTGGACAAAATATGGATCGTATGCTTCCACTGTAGATAGAATATGAAGAAAGAGAGATCGATTCATCCGGAATCTCCTCCTGAATAAATGGGCAGGATATATAGCTGTTTCTGAGAAGTAGTCTTGATAAAGTCTCTCATGGCCTTGAACTCGATCGTGATAAATAACTGCATGGCCTTCAATGGAACCACTACGTCTTCTCGAACATCTTTCTCTATTGAGTCGCTCTTCTTCCATTGCAACTATCATTATTACCTGCAATTCGTCATCACCGTCAAAGTCGTTAAGAATCATTTTCATGGTATTGCGAGCCATGATAATTAAAAAATGAATGAAGTTGAGAAATATAGTTCAAATTGGTAAAAATGAAAGAGCAAATCTTTTTTATAAACAAAAATATATGACCGTTACGAATATGTCTGTTATAGAATATTACCGTTAGAGAATATTACCATTTGAATATGACCGTTGAGAGAATATTACCGTTTGAAAATATGACCATTGAGAGAATATTACCATTTGAAAATATGACCGTTGAGATAATATGAATGTTTGAAAATATTTTTTTTTATAAATAATTTAATTATATATATTAAATAAATAAATATTTGCAAATGTCACGTCAATATATGCAGTACGTTATAAAAAGATTATTTATTTATTTATTAATGTTTATAATAGTTTTTTTTAAAAAATTAATTAAGTTAGTTTGATTGGTTAGCTAAAATAAAGAGTATGGTTGGAATGTACACTAGCTAAACTAGTTAGGCAAAATAAAGAAAGTAGTTTTTTGTGTACTTTGAAGAGGCATTTTAGAGAGCATGGTTGAGCATCATCAACGGTAATAGACATTTTATCTATCTAAAAATTACTATAAAGTATATATTTTATTTTGCCCATCAACCGTTTCATGTTTCTACTCCAACCATATTCTGTATTTTAGCTATTTATCCAAATACTATTAATTTTATAAAATACCACATTGATAACAAAAATGAAGAAAAATAATTTTAATAATTAAATACATTTTATCTAATCTTAAAGTATAACTACATATAACTAGTATATAACTAATGAATGTGATTTAAACTAAAATATCTAATCATATATACCTAGTCCATTGTAATTAAAAAAATTGAGTGCATTTTGACCGACAAGCACTGCATACGTAGTGGGTTGGAACTAAACCCGCTGACAAAGGCTGATAGAACATATACGTCCTCACGATCGTATAAAAACCCTAGTGGAACATCTCTGGTTCAAAACCCTTAATTTGAGAGAGAGAGAGAGAGAGAGAAAGGGGATAGAGATATCTAAACCTGGAGTGAGGTGAGGGCAATGGAGGGAGGGGGGAGTGACAATATACTAGTCCCAGAATCAGTAATAGAGGTAGTGAAGAGAATATCTTGTAACATGGAAGAATTCAGAACCCATTTCGTCGACTTCTTGTCTCTCTGCGACCCTCAAGTTCTCTCTGAAATGCTTCCTTTACAACGTGCTCAGTCTCTCCTCTTGCTCGCCAAGGCCACTACAACTCTCTTCACCTGTAAATTCGTCCTCTCCGTTACTCCATTTTTTCTGTTTCTATTCTTGGTTTTAATTTCATTTTTTTCTTTATTTTCTTAAAATTTGAATTGGACTTGGTTTCAGTGAAATTGAGGTGCAGTGGTGTTTGCCCAGATGACCACCCTGTGAAATCAGAGCTTGTATGTTTTTCCTATCTGTTCTTTTCTTTTCTTATTCTTTTCTTTTCTTTTCTTTTCTTTTTAAAATTTTTGCCTTTAATCAAATGGGTTTCTATTAATTGAGGGTTTGATAAAAGTTTCCCTCTTTCCTTGATTTGTTCAGAAAATTTGGCCTGCTGTGTATTGTTTAAATTTATGCCTCTTTTTTTTTTTGTTTTGTTTTGAATTTGATCAATTAATTCAAGGGCTTTTACTTTATGTTTTCTGTATATGTAGGAGAGATTAAGGTTGTATCAAGAAAAACTACAACGGTTCATTGATTTGAGTAAAGGTACTCTTCCTTCCCTTAATTTGGTTGGCTTATAGAAACCTTTTTACAAAAGGAAAAAAGAAAAAAAAAAGAAACGAAAATTTGAATCTGGTTTATGATATAATTTTTATTTTCCAAAATTTTCTTAGACTAAACCCACAATAGTAAAGTGGTTCTAGGACCGTTTGCTTGGACCCCTTAGATTTTAGCCAATGAAAAATCTAGGCTGCAACATTTTATTTCTTGCATCTTCTTAGCAACATGTGGTCCTTACCTTGAATTTGTATATTCAATGACATGGCATTGGCAATGACATTTTTGGAATCATCTGGGCAATAGTTAGCCATCTAGTTATATATCAAAGTACAAATAGGCCACATCATTTGAAATGAAGAATTTTAGGTTTATGGCATTTGTACGTTTATTTGAAATTCAATTTCATTCATAATTTTTTAATTGGCTTATTGTTACTTTGATTTATAAGTTTGGTTGGTAGTTATAATTTTCCTATCATCGATTACAAATTCTCTATTTGTCCGTGAAGCGCCGCTAAGACCTTCGACAACCTTGAATCACCAGGCAGCAACACGTTTTATTGAGCATTCATTGCCCGATCTTACTTCAGGTAGCTGATCAAACAATTTCTTGTCAGTGGCAATGACTTTCTTTATGTTTTGATCTTGTTTGAAAGATTTTTATTTTTGCAGAGCAGAGGCAAAGTATGAGGGATATCAGTAGAGGAGAGGGCCCGAAGATTAAGTATGTGGAGAGAAGTGTCCACAAGAAGAGAAAATGTCAGTCATCCGGGCAACAATCTGTCCGTACTGCTGCCCAGGAATTTCTTGAGAAAGCAGCCCGTGAGCTTCTTGGTGATAATAAAAATGGTTTTAAGGGACCTCTGCAGCCTGAGAATTTAGATGAAGATGATCTATCCATGGATTGACACTGGTACTTTTATATTCACATCTTTTTTGTTTTTTTGTTTTTTTTTTTTGGGTTGGGTTGGGTTGGGTGGGTTGGGAGGAATAATTTGTCTTTCATTTTTATTATTATTTTCTTTTACCAACTTGCAATTCTTTCTACCAAAAGGTTTGAAAATCGGTTAATTGGTTGGTGCTCTTGGCACAATCTCCAGTGAAGGGTCTTGTATGGTTGTATTCATCTTGATTTATATGTGAACTGTATTGATTCTTATTGACAATGTAGTGGCTAAGTCTTTATCTTAGGTGGAGTAACCATGCTTGACATTCATTGGGTTTATATCTTTTCTAGTTAAGGTGAGCTTTTGTACCTGGATTCAAATTTACAAATTTCGAAGGGGTATTTTATTGGATTAGTACGTTAAATTTTCGGAAGATAGATAACATCTGGAATAAAGTAGAAACAAGATATTCTACGATTACATAGAACAGAGGAATGAGACCGTCTTGTGCTCATTCTAAGTTTCTTACAATCTCCCCTCTAATTTAGTGAGTTGGAGTGAGGGATGTTGTGTATAGAAAAGTTTTGTTATGCAAAATCCTGAACATACATCACTGATTAATAGTGAATTGAACCTATTGAAGGGGATGGGGACTTGCGCATTTGGCCCTTCACTTCTTTGCACCCGTACTTGCCATGCACTGAATTGCTGAATTGGAATACTGCATGGCCATGGATCAAAATTTTATTTCAATGTGTTGCTTTGATTAATGTGAAAACAAAGACATTTTGAAAATGTATATGAAGCATTTCAAATTTTCAAGGGACAAAAGAATCTGAAAATACATTGAATTGTTTGGAAACGTAATTTGGAACCTATCTAAACTAAACATATAAAAGCCTAACCATTGATTAATTAAACATATTGAAATTTATATGTCACATTGTGATTGTGGGAGGTGAATTGGGAAATGGCAGACATTGAGATGGGTTGGAGGCCACTAAAGGTGGGAGAGGAGAGATCCAAGGCAGCCTTAGCATAGAGAGAGGGTGGCAATGGAGAGGTTTATGTTGGACATGAGCAAAAGGAAGTTTAGTGTATCAACCCCAAGGGGTTGGTCTAGTGGGTGCAACTTGGGACCTAGGGGTGTGCTCTCTCTAGGTCTCAGGTTCAACTCTTATTTGGAGCAATCTGCTTCTTGGGGTCACGTTCGCAGGCTCTACCCAAGATTTGCCCGATCCACATAGAGGGGGCGCTTTGCGTGAGTCTTGGAATTAGTTGAGTTGTGCGTAAGCTGACCCAGACACTCAGTCATAAAAAAAAAGAAGAAGAGGAAGTTTAGTGTATCGATTTGCATATGAGCCCTCTTTTATGTAGGGTGGCAAGCTAGGGAAAGCCAACTGAGCTGATGATAGGTGGCTGAACATCCTTGTTAAGCAAAATGGGGGGAACTTTGATCCTCCGCAACCTGATTGAGGCCTTGAGGGACATATCGTATGTGATGTGAACAAGTGGTATGTATGATACGTCCCCATTTGTCGTGTCAGAATGGCTCAGAGGTAAGTTATGGTATGACTGTTGAGGTATTCACATGTCTTAGACGAAGGCCCTCTCTCTCGAAGTCTAGTATGAGCTCGTCTTGTCATTGATGGTAAGCTTGGTGAGTACTCAGACGAACCCTTCAATGTAGCCTTCGATCCGCAAGTCCTCTAGTGGTCTCAAGTGATGTACTCTTAGCTTAGGTATTGTGAGTAGTTATGTTACATGGACTTGGATATAGGTGTTGGGTGCGGGTGTGTGTCTAGAGGTTGAATTCATCAAATTTTAAATTTAAGGGTAAGTGAACTCGGCAAAAAAAGGTCATATTTTTATATTTTTAATTTATTATGTAAGATAAAATAGTATTATATGTAACATACAATGTCAAAAAGATATATATCGCAATTATACAACAATATGTACATATATTAATTTGTTAAATACAAATATATATAAGAAGTGGTCGATGAAAAATATCCGAAATGTATTCCATACCCTTATCCAAGTGTTGGGTGTTTGATATGAGTATTTGATTTATTTTGAAGAGTTCGTGTAACATAGGTGTGTAATGAGCTTCAATCTTGGGGATTGTTAGATCAAAGCATGCTCAATGAGAGCTGTTGGCGAGCCAAGCACATTGAGCGAGCTTAAAGTTCTGGGTGTGTAGAAGTATGAGATCTTTGGATGTGGCTTGTGGGTGGTGACTTTGGTTGTCCAAGTGTTGGCACTCAATTGGGTCACATGCCATCTTGGACATGTACATATTGTGCTAGAGTCTTATAGGAACAACCATTCAAAGGGTGACGTGGTGGTGCCACGTGGCATGGTTGGATCTATGTACCTTACATACAAAAGAATGAGTGTAAATTTTTTAAAAATCAAAGTTTTTATGAACAAAAAATTGTTAATTATTGTCAAATAACTCAATTTTATTAAACACGAGTAGATGATTTTGAAGTGTGTAGAATCCCAACAAAATAAAATTTAAAATATACGTAGACAATAGTAATATTAGTGTTACTTGTAAGTTTTCTGAACGAATTCTGTATATTCAGTTGTCCATAATACAAAGAGTACAACTAAGTTATATAGACCTAATCTAAAAAAGAAAATAAGAATAGACTTATATTCTACAATCAATCAATCTAATGTTCACATAATCAATCTAATATATTTACATATTATTCTTACACTCCAGCTCAAACTCTAGGTGTTTTAGCAGAAAACATTGAGAAGAAACTAAAAACGAGCAGTGGCGTGAGTCTTGGTAAAGAAGTCAGCAAGTTGAAGTGCCTAAGAGACGAAAGGAAGCAAGATGGAGCAAGACCGTAGATGCTAACGAACAAAATGATAATCAATCTCAATATGCTTAATCTGCTTATGAAAGACAGTGTTATGGACAATCTGAATAGCACTACGATTTACGTTACACGGACTCGCCAGATTTGTGAAGTAATGACACAGGTACGGGTGCGGAATTCGGCTGGGATATGGACGGAGAAAGTGGATATGGTGACATAACTACGAGACTTCAATTAGAGCTGAGATTAGGGCTTCGATTTGTCACTCTCCTCTGTCACTGTTGATCTTGATCGTCTTCGCCTCTCAGGGTTTCGATCGTCTTCGTCACTCTATTCTCATTGTCGATCTCGATTGTCTCTCTCTTCTCTCACTCTCAATCTCAATCTCGTCTGTCTCTATGCTTCTCTTTCTCTTCATCTATCTCGATCTGGTTTCTGTTCTCTCTCTGTCTCTCTCTCTGTTTTAATATAATTTGTTTTATATAATATAATTTATCATATAATATATATATTATATAATTTTTATGCCTAAAATAAAAAAATCATTTATTTGATCATATATAATATAATTTATTTAATGCCTAATATAATTTTTATTTGTTATTTCTTTTTTATTTTTTAACAGAATTTATTATCCCTTATTTATTATAATTTTTTTACTTATACTATATATGTCAATTAAAAATAAAAAAATAAATTATTAAAAAAATTATCAATAAAAATAATACATATGATAAAAAATAACAAATATGTGTAAAAAATAACTATTTAACTCATCTTTATATAATAAATATATTTTAAAAATAACTATTTAACGTATCCCCGTACCCATATCCACATTTTGATCCATATCCACGTATCCTTAATTTTTAGTTTTGAAATGCCTAACCCCCAGATATGCACCCGCACCCGCACCCGCACCCGATACCCACACCCGAGTCTGTGTAACGTAGACTGCGATTGTTGTAGTAAAGAGAAATCGGAGAAGATTGAGGTACACCCAAATCAGATAAGAGACAACGAAGTCAAACAATCTCAGCAGTGGCATGAGTCATCACATGACACTCAACCTTGACAATGGAACGTGCAATAATGGTCTGTTTCTTAATCACCAGGAAACATGCAGAAGCCAGAAGTAGACTTGCGATCAGTAACATCACCAGCCCAATCAGAATTAACATAGGCCACCAAATCCAAAGAGAAAATGGAGGACAATAGTAAGTCCTAAAATATAGTACCCTAGAGATTGCGAAGAATGTGAACCAAAGTAGCTTAATGTGTAAAATGAAGAGCAGAAATGAATTGGCTAACCATATGAATAGTATAGGCAAGATTAGGACGAGTGATAGCTAGATAGACTAAGTAACCAACAAGCTCTCGATATAAAGTGGGATCATTCAGAGGAACACTATCAGTAGTGTTAAGCTTCACATTAAGCTCAATGGGGGTATCAAAAATCTTAGTGTCAGTAAGATTGGTGCAATGAATAACCTCATTTGCATACTTGGCCTGAGACAGAAAGTAACCATTGGGAGAAAAAGCTACCTCACTACCAAGAAAATATTGCATTGAGTCCAAATTCTTCATTTTGAAGGTGCTGAAGAGATGTTGCTTGACCTCAGAGATAGCAGAAGAGTCAGAACTAGTGATGATCACATAATGCACATACAGTAATAATGCAACAAAGCTAGTAGAAGTGTGAAGGAGAAATAAAGTAGAATCTTGGGTACAAGGATGAAACCTAAGCTGAGTGATAGCGTCCTGAAAGCGATCATACAAAGCACGAGGGGATTGCTTCAAACTATACAGAGCATGCTGAAGATGACAAACCTGTCCAAAGGAAAGAGGAAGGTCAGGGAGAGGACGCATATAAACCTCCTTAGTGAGATGGCCATTAAGAAAAACATTCTTAACATCCATTTGATAGAGAGGCCAATGACAAAAAGCAGCAACAGAAAGGCAAAGGTTTGCTCATAATCAATACCATACTCTTGTGAGAAACCTTTGGCAATCAGGTGAGTTTTGTAGTGCTCAAGAGAACCATTAGAGTGAGTCTTGACTTTATAGACCCATTTGCAACGAACCAGAGTTTTGCTAGCAGGCAACGAGACCAGCTTCCCAGTAGTAGTCTTCTGCAAAGCAGACAGCTCATCCTCCATAACTTGAACCCAATTAGGATCCTGATA